TGGTGTACCTAATAAAGTGGCCGGTGAGTGTATATGTTGTGTTATATGATATTGAATGTGGTTTAGTTTAATCATTCGGCTTTAAACCATAAATAAAGTCATGAAAACATTATCTTTAACATAGAAAACTGAGGTAAGTCATAATTTGGTGTGTTTGAGAGTTTCTGTACTGTTTAATTTGTTACTGTTCAGGAGTTTTTACACTGTAAGGCTCGGCCTCGTTCCAGTCGGTCTGGTCTTTTTCTACCCCGGCCCTGGTTGTGTTTGCATTGAGCAGAGAGCTGCCTCGATGTGGGCGGGATCATAATATATATATTAAACACTAGCAAATCCTATTTTGTTTCATTTGTGACACAAAAATAATGGACTTCACCAAACTCAAAGGAAAAGTACCGAAGACTGTACCGTACCATCCAACAGTATGACACAGAAGACGAGAGTACAGGACGACACACAACAGTAAGCTAATGTTAGCTAGTTGTTGTTTGATAGCTTGCTACACTTGTGTATTTAAACTTGTGTGAAAAAACATTAACTGCTGCAAACGACTCGTGCTAAATTAATCTTATCTGTGTGATGAACACCCCCGCTTACCCGTTTGCGGGAGTTGGCCACCTTCTCCCCCTTGGCCCGGTAAAGGGTGTCGTGGTACTGCTGTGCCGAGCTGGGATCCAGGGTGTTGAGCATGGCGTTGGGGTTTTGCATGGCRGCCAGCGTGCCCTCCGGTACGCCCTGATCTATGGCCTCATTGATGGCAATCACAGCAGCATGTACTGAGGAATAAGGATTGATTTAATTTAGCTTTCACGGGTAACTAAATATTAAGTATTTGTATTATTTTCAGAAACAAACCAACAGGACATCTTTCTTTTCTTCCATGGTTTTATAAGAGCCAGTAGAAAACCACTAATCTGCTCCTCTTAAAGTAGCTTTTCTTTCTGCTGACTATTCACAGTTGTACTGTTAAATAAATATAATATTTTTTTTCCTATGAATGAATCAAACAAGAGGTGTTAATTAGTGAATAAAAGTATTGAGGTCTTGGAAAAAAACATGTTTTTGAAAGAAACAAGATTTCATTAAAATATGTAGACTTTATTTTAGTTMTTTTCTTTTATAAATACCCCTCATTTTGCTAGCTCATTTTTCCATTAGCCTATGTGGTACTAGAAAATAAACAAATATCTCGTTGTTTTACCTCTTAAAGTGATAGTTTAGCCTTTTTTAAAAGAATGTTTTGTCAAATACCATCAGGAGATAGTACCTTATCAGCTGTGATATCAGTCTTAGATAAATGAGTAATTTATGAAGAGGTAAAAGTCCACCAAAAAGTCAGGCTAATGGCTAACAACACCAGTCCTCAATTCAGGGGCGGGACCAYGGGGGCATTGTYCCCMACTGAAATCTGATTGGTCCCCTGAAGTGCCCCTGTCCTGTCACTCATCTGTCCTTAGCCTGAGGTCAATGATGGAGGAGGCAGTTCCACGTCGAAACACTGAGTCAAATAGAAAAGTCCAGCATGAATCAAGCRGACAGAAGTYGACTTCTCTTCTTAAAACAATTTGAACAATCCTGCAGAAAAAGTATTTCAACTGATAAATGATGRCTGGATTTTCTTACGATGTGTGTTTGARAGTAATTTATCTATGCAAAATTAAAATGCATGTAAAATTGATAAGGAGAATTTACTGTGCAAGCTTTTTTAATAACATTACAAGTGTTTGAACATGTGACTGGTTAAATGTAACCTTACCAAAAGGGATTTGTGTGCAAGGATGTTGAACAAACACTTGGCCCCTTAGATTTGCCTCGATTCATGGCTATTAAGACAAACCAAACAAACTCTTGCTCAAAATGTCATGCAGGTGAGAAAGAACAAGTTGTCTGAAACTAAACCTTTACATGTTTGTTGTTATTTTCTCAACCAAACAGCCTCTGTGTTACTACACAGATGAAGGAGCTGCTGAATGTTTCAGTTCATCTGATCAGTGTCGACAGTCCAAGAACTTTATTAACTACAGACTGTTGAGAAAACAGCAACAACTAAACAAATCATACTAAAGTATGGTCAAAAAGAAAAACTAAGTAGGTCATCTGGATGGGTTCTATAGTGAAACGTTTTGTCTCTCCTCCAAGAGACTTCCTCAGTCTGAAGAGTTTCAGGTGAACTCAGCCTTATAAGCACTGCCTCCACATGGACAAACAGGTTAGTCACATGCAAAAGAGGGCCATCGACTAACAATAGGCTTGATTAGCTCTATTTAGTCACATGCAAAGGAGGTGCATTACTGAGATGCATCAGGACATACTAAAGTATGGGTTAATTTTTTGCTAATATTATACCAGTATGACATTTTTGAGCAGGAGTTGTTTTTTATGTCCAATAAAACACAAATGATTACACTTTATTTAGTTATATGAGGCTTAATGAAACTTGAACCGTTTTAAATATGCATATTTTAACATACAGCATCAAGGGAAGAGCTACGTAAATGTATTTTTTATTTTCTTAGGAAATGAGTTTGTTTACATGCAGGGGAAGAAGTTAAACCTCGTACTGCAGCCAGCCACTAGAGGGCACACATTTTGTAGCTTCAACTTCTGGGTTCTGGTGCCATGTTTAGGTCTACTTTATGTTGATGGTCTCGTCATTAGACCACATTTTTCTTTTGTCTTCATTACTTTTATTCTCTATGACTGATATCATGTCTGAAAATGAACTAATTATTGATAAATGTTTCACAGAACATCACTTCAAAAATGACCAAACTATACTTTTAAAATCCAATGAACCGGTTGTTCTTGTGAATGTTTCTCCATTAATGTGAGAGCAGCTGTTTAAAGTGAAACTTTGTTTTACCTACTGTTTTATTAACAGCAACTCAACTTCTGATTTTCATTTTAATATTCTGCACCAACTACAGTTCATAATCTCAAGTTCTGACCCTGCCAAGCCCTCCCCCACTGGCATATTTGACCCTTCCCCCCACCCGCGCCCCTTACATGCAGCTTCATCCACTGAAAGCTCATTGGCCAGGATGCCGCCAATCTTGCTGAAGGCGGGCATCTGGATCCCATACTTCTCCAGCTCACTCTTCATGTTGTTGATCTCCTCCTCTGTATGGAACAGATGCAGGAGGTGCAGCGGRAAAAAAARRGAGAAAGAAAACAGAGTGAGAGCGAGGGGGAAATGGGGGGCTGTAGAGACAGACTGTTCCTGGCTCATGTGTGATAATCAGATTCTTGAGACTGGTTCTGGGACAGGCAGCTGAGCAGGAACTCCACCGACAGGAAAAGYTCTCACAGTTACTAATGACTTTCACATTTCTCTTCAGGCTCTGCTCCTTACTCTCACTTACAGCTTCATGGTGTGAACAGCTTAACTGTAGCTTTGGAAACAAGATGATGTTTGTAATGTTTGGACTACAATCTAAAAATAAAAATAAAAACAGACAGACTCATTCTGATACAAACTCACTCACCCGTGAAATCAACTTTTCCATACAAGTCCTGGATCTGAGGGGCCAAACCCAACTTGAACAAGTACAGACTGTAAAGAGAGTAAAAATAAAACACAGGACTAAATATGTCACATTATATGAAGCAACCATTATCAGTCTAATCCAWGCCAGGAAGTTTTCTGTTAACAAGCAGGAAACAAAGTTTAACAACTGAACAGAAAATCAACACACTGGCCAGGTGTTGGTCCAGCCTGCTGCTGGACACTGAGGTCATTTTTTAGTTGGGAAAAATCTGTAATTTATTTATTTAAATTATCAACAGTTTCTGTAAAAACGTCTCGTTATTATAACAAAAACAAGATAAAAAATATTTAGGTCAGTACACTGCAATTTAGGCAGCTATGGGAAAGAAAATGAATAATTATCACTTCTACATTGCTTATCCATTTCTTAAATGCTCTAAACTTGAAATACGAACTCTGGTATCATTTTAGGCTAACCCAAGAAATTTAATCACATAAAACACACACACACACACACACATGTATATAAACATATACATATATACACACACACACACACACACACATGTATATAAACATATACATATATACACACA